GCAATTTACTATTCACGTAAAAGAAATAATAAAAATTTACAATTACGCAAGTTCATAAATCATCTTTCAAGGTTTATTACATAATTTACTAAAAGTAAATATGCTCGGGGTCGGTGTTACACATATGTTGACGATATGATCGTCAAAAGCAAGCAGTCAGCAAATCATGATGACGACCTGAGGGAGATCTTTGCCATCATGCAGAAGTTTAGCCTTCGGTTGAACCCGAAGAAGTGTACCTTCGGCGTCCAGGGGGAAAATTCCTGGGCTACATGGTTAGCCGAAGGGGTATTGAGGCCAACCCCGAGAAAATCCAGGCCATTATCAACATGGAGCCCCCACGCAACGTGAAGGAGGTCCAACGGTTGACGGGCCGCCTGGCAGCCCTCAACCGCTTCTTATCAAAATCGGCGGAGAAGTCCTTACCCTTCTTCCAGATCATGAGGAAAACTGACGGTTTCCAATGGACTTCAGAATGTCAGGGGGCATTCGAGGAGCTGAAACGATACTTATCTTCACCCCCTGTGCTCTCTAAACCCAAGGTAGGGGAAATCTTGTACCTCTACTTGGGTGTTAGCCTGGCTGCCATCAGCTCTGTACTCATCCGGGAAGAGGATGGCATCCAACATGCCATCTTCTATGTTAGCAAGACCCTCAAGGAAACAGAACTCCGGTATTCCCCCGTGGAAAACACGGTGTTGGCTATCGTGTGGACCGTCAAGAAGTTGGGCCATTACTTCCAGGCTCACCCGGTCCAAGTCCTCACTCACCAGCCCCTCGGCGCCTTGATGAGGAGCCCCACTAGCTCCTCCCGAATGGTAAAATGGGTTGTCTTCTTGAGCCAATACAACATCGACATCCGTCCTAGGCCCGCCATCAAGGTCCAAGCCCTAGTGGACTTCGTGACGGAGTGTACGGCAAGGGCAGCCACGGACGAGGAGCCCTCGGCCCCTTCGGATGATTGGTGGACACTCTACACCGATGGCTCCTCCGCCATCAAGGCATGTGGAGGAGGGGTGGTTCTCATCTCACCCGAGGGCTTTCGGGCCAATTATGCAGTCTGTTTCTCCTTCAAAGTCTCCAACAATGAAGCCGAATACGAAGCCCTCCTCTGTGGCCTTCGGCTGGCAGCTAACATGAAGGCCCGACAAATCCACGTCAAGTGCGACTCCAAGTTGGTCGTCGGCCAAATCTCCGGGGAGTACGAGGCCAAGGAAGGGAGAATGAAGCAATACAAGGAGGCGGCCAAGGAGTTGCTTAAGGTATTTGAGGCTCACTCTCTTACTCAATTACCGAGGGCTCAAAACTCCGAGGCCGACATTTTATCAAAGCTCTCGGCAGAATCCCCTGAGCACATCTCCAAGATCGCCAAAATAGAAGAACTCAGCCTCTCCAGCATACATGCTAGCCCCGTCATGAACATACAACAAAGACAGGAGGACTCGATCTCAGACATTGTTGCCTTAATCACCACAGGGCAACTGCCCGAGGATGAGGCCCGCGCCAAGCTGGCAAAGATGAGGGCTCCCAGCTACACTATCGAGGACGGGAGGCTTTACAAAAGGTCCTACAACGGGACGTTGCTTCGGTGCCTTCATCAGGATGAAACCGAAGTAGCAATGGAGGAAGTACACAGCGGCACTTGCTCAGCTCACCAGGGACCCTTCTCCATGTCCCGAAGGATGATAATCCAGGGCTACTTCTGGCCTACGATGGCCCTGGATTGTGCGGACCTTGCCCGGAGGTGTCCCGCATGTCAACACTTCCAGAAAGCCCCCGGCAGGCCAGCGGTCAACTATGCCCCCATCAGAACATCCATACCCTTCGCTCGATGGGGCATAGACCTTCTGGGCCCTCTGCCGAGGGGTACCTCCAACAACAGGTACATCATTGTCGCCATCGATTACTTCACCAAATGGGTGGAGGCTGATCCCCTCGCCAGCATTACTGAGGCCAGGTGCCGTCACTTTGTTCTCAAGAACATCCTCACTAGATTTGGTGTCCCTCAGCAAATCATCTCCGACAATGGGACTCAGTTTGAGGCAGCCCCCTTCTGTGCCCTCCTAGAGGCATGGGGCATCAAACACACCTTCTCATCCGTTGCCTACCCTCAGGGCAACGGACAGGTGGAGAACGCCAACAGAACATTGCTCGAGGGCCAAAAGAAGAAGCTGGAGGCCGAAGAGGGTGGTTGGGTAGAAGAGCTCCACAACATCTTATGGGCCTATCGTACCACCCCTTGGCGGGCAACTGGCGAGACACCCTTCTCCCTTTGCTACGGATTTGAAGCTAAAGCCCCCACTGAGGTAACTCTCCCAACCCGAAGAGTCACACAGTATGATCCGGAGGCCAACGACACCAATATGGCCCTCGATCTCCACCTTATTTCGGAACGACGGGAGCAAGCCTTCATACACGCAGAGAACTACCGAAGGCAGGTGAAGAGCTACATCGACGCCAAGGTTCGCTCCCGGGAATTCCAAGTGGGGGACTATGTCCTCCGAAGAAGGGAAGCTAGCCAACCAACCGAGGGCGGAAAGATGGCACCAAAATTTGAAGGCCCCTACATCGTGGCAGCCATCATCAAACCAGGAACTTACAAACTAAAACGCCCTAACGGGACTGAAGTCCCTAGGCACTGGAATGTACATCACTTAGTTAAATTTTATCAATAACATCAGAGCGGCCAAGCCCTCATAACTAGTGAATGTATTATTTTACGGCCCAAGGCCTAAAGAATTCTGAAGAATGAAGGCATTTTTGAAGACACCGGGAACACGGAACGAGATTATCACAAGGGCCAAGCCCTCATTTCACCCTCAGGCCCAAGGCCTCACCACAATAGAAGAACCCTCGGCACCAAGTGCCGAGGGTAGACAATACTGTCACCTACAAAAAAGTACCACCCGTCCTCAAAAGAAGACCCCTCGGCACCTGGTGCCGGGGGGTACACCATTATCAACTCTCAATCAATGGGAGGAAACACCAAGTGTTCCCACAGAAGACCCCTCGGTACCCAATACCGAGGGTAGACAAGACAATCACCTTCAACAAATGGGAGGAAACACCAAGTGTTTTCACAGAAGACCCCTCGGTACCAAGTACCAAGGGTAGACACCGCAATCCCCTACGACAAGTGAAGGAAAAACACCAAGTGTTTTTACAGAAGACCCCTCGGTACCAAGTGCCGGGGGCCATGCATCGGAACAAACACCAAGTGTTGTTTCTAAGCCGTACCCCTCGAGGACGCCTATACCGAAGGCGCCACCTATCGGTGCCGGCAGCACGTAGTGCACCCGGCCATTTGCAACTAGTGTGCAAATGAAAACCCTTCCCTGAAACGCTTTCCGCGTCATCACCCCAAGGGTATGACAGGCATGAGAAATGCCCAGGATTCGACTTTCAAAAACGGAACGCTTTCCGCGTCATCACCCCAAGGGTATGACATGCACGAGAAATGCCCAGGATTCGACTTCCAAACCGAAACGCTCCCCGCGCCACCACCCTAAGGGTGTGGCAGGCCACGGACTATGTCTAGCGCCGAGGGGACGACTTTCAAAACTGAGGCGCTTTCTGCGCCATCCCCCAAGGGGAGGCAGGTTACAGACCACCATATCTTGTGCCCAGGAAACGACCCTCGATCCCCTCGTAACTCGGAAGGTTAACCTGAGGGGGGAGCTAATGGTGTATTCTGTTACCTCCCGATAGGCCAAGCCTTACCAAGAAACCAAGTTTCTTGAAGCCTTCCCTTCACTACTCAAAACAAAGGGTGGTGAAGGGGAGTAGACTCGGCGACAAATCAATGAGTACATCACTCCAACAATTTACAAAAACATATCGAGGGCTCCCCACGGGAACACCTTCGGTACCTTGGAAGTTCACAAGTACAAAGGATACCGTTCACAACAGACATCATCAACAAATGGCTAAGTCCACTCAAGGATTGCCTCCGGCTATACCTAAAACCGAAGGCACAATGTTCTCAAAAAATCCCCGTAGGGCACCATATGACAAACAACCGAAGGCTTTTATTGCCACATGCCAACATCACAAGGCAAAGGAAACTATCCTAAACATACAACGCCTACAACCGAAGGGTCCTCCCCCGAAGGCCAGCAGCAGGAAATTCTTAAAAAAAACTAAGTCCTAAATGTTTTTCCCCTTGTGGAGCCATCAATCAACCGAAGGCGTATCTGAGACAAGGCCCTCACAGTCATCCGAGGGCTCCTACTTCACACATACTACACTTAGAAATATTTTCTAAGTCCTACATATTTTGGCCCTCGGTCAAATCTCCATGCTGCCCGAGGGGCCACGCGGTTGAAGACTTGGTGAAGCTAGACTTAGAAAAAATTTCTAAGTCCTACATACTTCGACCCTCGGTCAAATCTCCATGCTGACCGAGGGCTCCTACTACATACATGCTACACTTAGAAAAATTTCTAAGTCCCAAAAGTTCTTACCCTCGGTGACAAGTTTCTAAGTCTCGAATCTCCCTTCAACCCGAGGGGTCACACGATTGAAGGCTTGATGAGACTACACTTAGAAAAATTTTCTAAATCCTAACTATTGTTGGGCCCTCGGTCATACATCTAGCAAAGGGTGCCCAATTACCGAAGGCTATGACTGTATTCAAACACTTAGAAGAATTTTCTAAGTCCTAAGCACCTCACCTCCGGCCATCGCACGAAGGCTACACGGAACCGGAAGGGAGGAACCGGCCGGGGGCCAACAGATGAACAAACACTTAGAAATATTTTCTAAGTCCTGTACATTGTGCCCTCGGTGAAAGATTCAACTAACTACACTTGGAAGGATATATTCTAAGTCCTAAACATACATGACAAGCGAAGGCATACATTCAAAAGAAAACGATGGCATACATCCGAGAAGAAATGAATTGAAGAGAAACACATTATATACCAAAAGCCCGGGGGCGAGTATTCATTCACCAAAGAAAATAAATTCAAAGTTACAGAGGGCCGAAGGCCGAGGGCACACAAGCATTCGTTACAAAGGGATTGTTCAAAACATGTTAAATCAAAAAAATTACAAGTTAACATTCCCGGGGGCCGTCTCCTCCGATGGCTTCGAAGTGACCTCTGTGCCGGCCTCAGATTCGTCACCCTCGGCCTCCTTCATGAGCTCGGTGTCCTCCAGATCTGGTCTCTCGACGTCGGCGGGGAGAGGAACACGAACGTCTGGCTGCAGGGGGGAAGCTCGTATGCCGCCGGGTCAAAATCCTTGGGCTCAATCTTCAGGTGGCGGGCCATCCTCCGGTAGATGAGGGCTTGGGTGAAAAACTCGCCCCCATCATAATACTGCTTGCCCTTTCGGGAAAACCACTCCACACCGGGCCCATCACACCACTCGTCGACCGAGGACTCGACGACCGAGGACAGCCATTGCTTGTGCTCCTCAGCTCGCCACCCCCTGCCAAGAACCCAGAGATGGCGTCCATTCGGGCTCTCTCGACGGCCTCCACCTTAGCGGTCTCGGCCTCCACATTGGTGGCCTCGGCCTCCCTAGCAGCTCTCTGAAGGGCCTCAGTTGCGGACCTTTCAGCCTCGGCCTTGCCCCGGTCTGCGGCCTCCGCCCGCAGGGTCATCTGCCGAAGGCTCTCCTCCAGCATAGCCATCTACCGGACGGCGTCGGAATTCTGGCGGATGAGCTCCCGCATCTTAGCATCCTGCTCGGCCTTGCAAAGACGCCACTCCTCTAGCCGCCGGGCTTGCTCTCCGAGGGAAATGCAGGTCTACAAAAAAAGAAAAGAAGTTAGGAAGGCCGTACATTATTTCCTAGCTCAAACAAAAAACGGTAAACTGTCAAAAAAAACTTACCGTGAAGGAAGACCGGAGGATCCTGTCCTCAAGGGCTTGGTCATCATCAGCCCCGAGGGCTGCTCTGTCAATCTCGAGGGTTATACCTCTTAGAAGCGCCCTCGGGTCAGCCGTGCCATTCATCACGGCCGTACCAACCGGGAGGGAGACCGTCAGGACCTCGGAAGATGGCTCCCGGACACCCCCCGGCACTTTCGCCACCGGCATCTCCTCGTGCACCCCGGAGGCGGGGCAATCGTCAACAATGACCACCGGGGGGGCTTTTCTTCCCGGCATCCCCGGTCTTGGGCTTTTTGCTCTCGGGAGCCTTGCCCGTGCCTTTCCTCTTGGCAGCGGCAGCTGTATCAGTATTTGGGGCCGCCGATGGCCCCTCTGGTTTCTTGAAGAAGTCACCGGCGGGTTTTGGGACACCAGCATCTGTTCCCCTCGGGGCTTTGGAGGGCTTTTTCTTCTTCAAATCAGCGAGCCCCCTGACGTTCATCAAGTTGACTGGGATACCTGCAAAACAGTGTGGGGTTAAAACCGAGGGGTTACTAACAGATGGCACAAAAAAGAAACGAACAAACAGATAAACTATCTTCTAAGATACAAAAATGAGGGTGCCCTCAGCCACTACCTCCGGAGGCTCCCTCAAACACCGGGAACTTCTCATCTGTTTCCCCCAGGAAGCGATACCGCCAGAACCCGAGGGTGTAGAGATCCTCCTCTTTGGTGCACTCCTTAATGGTTATGTTTTTGTCCCGACCCTCCGGGATCTTGGCCAGGATCCTGCCGTCTTTCTCGAGGGCGGCGCTCCTCCTCTTCTCGTGCCTCCTGAACCGGTCACGCAATTCCCTCGGGAAGGGGCTCTCGGTCAGCTTCACATAGCACCACCGGTCTTTCCACCCTTTGTTCGAGGAGGGCGCCTCAGTAAATAGCTTGAACAGGGCCACCTGCTGCAAGTTTGCGAAGCCCTCGGCATTCGCATGCCCCCCCCCCCCCCCCCCCCCCCCCGGCACAGGTTGAAGCTCTGGAAGAAGAGGTCCAGGCTAGGTGTTACCCCCCGGGACTTGCAGAGCTGGAGGAAGCCCGTTATGTAGGAATGGCTGTTCGGGGTCAGCTGGCAGGGGACCAAACCTACGAACCGGAGGTACTCCCGGAGGAAGGGGTGTAGGGGGAACCGGAGCCCCATCGAAACAGACAGGACATGCACCGCGATGCAGCCCTCGGGAGCCCGGGAGAGGACGTCATCGGGACCCGGTGTCACCACAATGGCCGAAGGGCCCACATGTAGTTGAGTGACGTACAGATCTGCCGCATCAGCCTTCGACCTTATTTCTAAGGCGGCGGTATTCAGGTAGGAATACCCCTCGGGCATATCGAGGGGCTTCCCTTGGTCTGCAACGCTGCCCTTCTTCTTGGGGGCAGCCACTTTCGCCTTCTTCTTTCCGGGGGCCACCCGGATGGGAACCGCGTTCAGCGGCCGAGAGGTGCTGGCCTCACCGGTACCCCGAGGGGGGAGAACAGCAACAGTGACCCTCGCACCTTCTTTTTGCGCCTCTTCTTCAGCTGCTTGCCAGGCGAGGGCCAGCTCTTCATCTTCACACTCCTGTTCGAAGCCCTCGGCTTCCGCCTCAGCAACGAGGGCTTTCTGCAGCTCCAGGGTGACGACGGCATCCTGTCCCACCGAGGACTGTTCGCTTGAGGACTTCACGTCCGAAAAGACTTCATCCCCCACCGAGGGCGCCCCCGAGATGTCCTGGGAATCACTTTGGGAAGACATCTTCGCACTGGTTCGAGGGCTCGGAAATACTAGAGTTCTCTAAAAGTTCTATCTCCTAGCCTAAGGTCACAAGGCACAGCTAACTACAACGAGAAGAGCAGGGGGGACTGACCTTAAGGCAGGGATTGATCGAGGGCTGTTGTTTCTCTCTCTAGAAATTTTGGCAGAGCTTCGTTATAATGATTTCGCATAAGGGGAAGGAAGCCGGCCATGGGATATTTATAGGCGCTGGGATCCGGGCTTGGGCCTGGAAACCGGGCCTCCGGTTGGACTGCCATCATTACCAACCGAGGTTCCACCCAATCGGTGACGCCCGCCCACGGGCAGCCAACGAGCACGCACCACGTGGCAACCCCCCCCCCCCCCCAACGGCTATATCGTGACGTTACATATTCCAACGGCTATATTTCCAACGGCTATATTCTGGGAGCCCCCGGGTTTTTTACTTCACTCCATTCCATCAAGGAAAGCCTCCGGGTACACTTACCCAGAGACGCTCTCGGGTTGTGCCCCACACAGTACATAACAGGCGCCTTCAGGATCACTCCTTCAGAAGCCCAAGGCTTCATATCAGGCCACCCCTCGGGGATCCCCCCTCAGCACTGTAAGGGCCGGGTAGCCGCCGGGAGTATGCCTCATTGACGGATAGCCTACGGCACACAGGTAATGGGAGCCCTCGGATATCCTCATCACCAACTAATCAGCAAGCAGGGGACACCCCGGTAACACTTCAACTACTACCATCATTCACTACGCCCTCGATCCCCAGATTGAGGGACCCGCCTTCGGCACCTCCCAGGACATCAACAACAAGCCTCCGGCTAATCAACACATGAGCCCTCAGAACAAGGAGAGCCTTCGGCATCATCATTATTCTCCATTGTGAACCAAGGTTTCACATTTTCGATTCATCGTTGGGGGAATTCGGTGCACTCTTTTTCCCTCATTAAGATTTCTTCCCACAGGGTTTTTCCTAATGAGGTTTTTAACGAGGCATCCCCCCAAAATGAAACGAAAAGCGTCAGCCTTCGGCCCAAAACAGCAACGCAACTACTCTACTCCTTGTCACCACTTTGCAAATGCCTCAAGGAGTGGGGGACTGGAGGACCCCCTCGGGAAAAATCACAAACATGACCCCTCAAGTCCCGACTTGTGAGTAACTGAGGGACTGCCCTCGGCAGAATAAACAAACAGCAAACTACCCACAACTCTACAAGCTACAAACGAAACAACGACAGAGGACAAACACAATTACTCCTTTTCCCTCAAGTACCTTTCGGCAAAAGGAGTGAGGGACTCCTGATGGAGTATATGGCCCGGGAACCCCAGGCCCATAGACTCCTACTGCTCCAATAAAGGCCCAACAGGCCCAGAAGGTCCAACAGGCCCAAATCACGGCGCCCAAGATACCAAGCAGCCCACAAATACGCACCAAGGGCGCCTTCGGCCCCCTGGCCGAAGGCTCTAACTCTCACAGGAGGGCCAAGACAGCAAAACAAAGTTACTGGGGAAAACGGTAAAAAACAGTAGCCCTCGGCACCTGGAGCCCTCGGCACCAAGGGGGTCCCCGGTACTCAGAGCCCTCGGCTAGTCCTCTACAGCCGAGGGCACCTTTCCCGACATGATATCCGCGCCACATGCGTACAGATCACCGTACCCTGTACAACGTCCCATCCAACAGCCGCATTAAATGCGGCCACATGCGGTTGCCAGCGCCAACCAGTTGAGGTGACCTCTCGGCCAATGGACGCTTGACACGTGTCCCTGTCCGGCATTTATTGCTACTATAAATAGCACCCCATTTCCCCATTTGTAACCAAGTCATAAACGCTGCATACTACTAAATATACTTTCTCTCTCTATACTTACTTGCTCTGACTTCTCTCTTATTATTCTCCGTAATAACCCCTCGGATAAGCTACCCCCCGGGTACACTATCCATCAAGCCTTTTGTGGTTACAAGGTAAATTCTCCTAATCTACCTTTGAGCCACCCCAACTCTATCCCCTCTAGGAAGAGTTATGCATCTCTACCTTGCGGGTAGAGAGCCACTCAGCTTTAGAACAAAGCTCTCACACACACGACCCCAACCTGAGGAAGCTACCCTTAAGCTTTTCCTCAACCTTCAATTACACAACAAGTAAGAGAAAAGAAACTATATCTAGAACTCTATAAGCAGGTCCAGTTGCCTTGGTCTTGATACTCTCTTATAAGTATTTCTCTCTTATATTGTTCGGTCAAGCACACCTCATTTCTCTTTGGCTGCTTCATTTATATAGGCTGTCTTGGGCACACCGTTTAAGCATCCTTCCTTGAATAGTTGATCTTCTAATCTTGGGACTTGCCTCAATATTTTGAATTGCTTTCCTTCTTTATAATATTTCCCATATCCGAGCTCAATATATAAGGCAGTCGGATTAAATATCTTAATCAGGGTAGCATACCAATCCTGGACTAAGAATAGATACAAACAGCTCATCCATCTCTTGAGTGATCAATTAATTACCAAATAAGGCAGGCTTCGGTCAATATTCAAAAAGGTAGGAATATCTTTCTCAATATAAGCAAGCAACGAATTAAGATATGGAATATATTTCAAACAACTTCTTCTCTTTCACATCCGTATAGCTAGGGAATATTTTACGTACCATACTAAGCTATATCAAGTATGGAAAGAGAATAATCACTCATATAAGGAAAGCATAGCAATAGAAGAACAAGTAGGTGCAATCCGTATTAATTCAAATCATATTACGAATTTAGAAATGGAGCTGCATTAGTTCCTCCTGCATGGTTAGCCAATCAAATTAATAATATCCATTTGTTCCTGTTACGCAAGGAACTGTGAGCGGTTCTATCCGCCGTTCCCCCTGTGTGGTTAGTCATCAACAAAACAATCATACTTAACAAATTCCCCCTTGACTAGGAAAACATTGTCTATTGCATGGTCAGGTGACTTTCCAATTTTCCCCACAGCAATGATTTCTCCTTTGCTGTTGTCTCCAAACGTCACCTTTCCACCACTAAATGGCCGTAGTGAGAGGAATAAAGATTTATCTCCTGTCATGTGCTTAGAATAACCACTGTCAAGGAACCAGTGATTGTTCCCCCTCACTCGGCGCTGTTCCAGGATTAAGGTTTAGTTCGTGGAACACAGACCTGCTTGGGTTCCATTTTATATTTGTTTGAGGAATATTTACTGAAATTAAAGCTTCTCTCTAAGGCCTATTGCCGAGAGTGACATTGATACCTAAGATGTCCGTCTTTGCCACAATACCCGCAAATTCGGCTATCATATGTATCAACATATTTGGTTTTCCAATTTCCGAAAAAATCTTTGCCCCTTTTATAAAATTCCCGGTTAGGTGTTTGTCCATAACCTGTTTTGTGTCTTTGAACTAGCTTATCGAACCAGGTTGGTCCAGTTCTAGATTGTCTTTGGTACGGCCTAGAACTGGTTTGTCCTCTAGTTCTATTACCATAAAAGGGTTGGTTCTGAAAACTCGGTTTTTGATTCATTTGAGTGTCTCTTGGAATATATCCGAGACCAGCAGTCTCGTTTTCCTTTCTTTTGTACCGAGAGGGTCCAGTTCTAGAATGTTGTCTAGACCTGGTTCTTACCTTGGTACTATATGGTTGGTGTTCTGGTTTGTTTTTGAAATCCTGTCTCTCGTCCTCAAGGCGATTGAGATGATTAATGAGCAAGGCAATGTCCGGAATTTTTCTTAGAAGTTTTTCTTCATCATTAACTTGTTTATTCATACTATCGAGCTTGAGTGAGCAAATGAGATTATCTTATTCTAAAACCACTTCACTATACTTGAGCCTTTCATCTATTAACTCTCTGACTTTTGTTTCCAGCCTTATCTTGGCTCTAGTGGCTTCCTCGAGTTTAGACTCAAGTTCGGTGATTTGTGATTTAAGATGGTCGTTTTCAGAAAGACTTTGATTTAGCTCGATAGTTAATCTTTTAAAAATCTTCCGAACCTTGCCTTTAGAGAGGGAATCAAATTTAGAAAGAAAGCTTTCCAAGTTTACCTCGAAATTCTCTTGGTCGGATTCTTCATCGGAATTAGCCATGAGGCACAATCCTGGATGATTTAGGCCTTTTTCTTCTTCTTCTTCTTCTTCTTCTTCTTCTTCATCGGATGAATCTCCCCAAGCTGCCATCATTGCCTTCTTGAGGTCTCTGTTGAACCCTTTATCATCACTGGACCGTCGGTGAGAGCTGGTCTTGTTCTTGTCGTAGGTTCTATCATATTTCTTTTGAGGACAAACTTGTGCCCTGTGCTCAAAGGATCCACAAACAAAACAACATTGGTTATTAAAAGATTGAAACCCTTTCTTACCTTGCTTGTTCCGGTTGCCTTTAAACTTTCGGTACATCTTTCCGAATTACTTGGCAAACATGCTCATTTCGTCTTCCTATTCACTTTCGGAATTTTCTTCTTCCTCTCGAGCCTTGAGAGCAATTCCTCGCTCCTTCCTCACATTTTCGGCATCTTGTTCTTCTTGAAGGCCTAACTCATATGTCATGAGCGAACCGGTTAGGTCTTCTAACGTCATGGTGGAGAGATCTTTGGCTTCTTCTATAGCCGTAGTTTTGGGCTTCCATGCGGATGGCAAACTTCTCATAACTTTTCTCACTTGATCTTCCATAGTAGTATCCTTTCCAAGTGCTGAAAGCTCATTTATAATATTAGTATAGCGTGTAATCATATCCCTAATTGACTCTTTAGGTTTCATCACGAACAATTCGTAATTACGCATAAATATGTCAATTTTGGATCTTTTTACACGCGAGGTACCTTCATGTGTAACCTCGAGTAAATCCCACATTTGTTTTTGTGGATTTGCATCCAAGAACATGGTTGTGCTCAGCCGGACCAAGTCCACAGATCAAATATTTCAATGCTTGGGCATTATGCTCGAGTTTACGATAATCATCAGTAGTGAATTCAGATTTGGGTTTAGGAACAACTTTACCTTCGGAGTCCACCTTAGTAATGACGTTATCACCTGCCTCAATTACATTCCATACCTGATAGTTCTCGGCCTTGATGAAGTTCTCCATTCGACTCTTCCAGAATTGGTAAAATTTGTCGTTAAACAACGGTGGTCGTTGAGTCGAGTATCCTTCCTCCAATCGTTCAACCGTATTCATGCTGCCGGATCTCTTCCGAAGGTATTAACCTTTATGTGGCGAAGACCGGATCTGATACCAATTGATGAAACGGTTAGCAACACAAGAGGGGGGGGTGAATTGTGTGTGTGTGGAACCGTGACAGTTTTTTCGCACAGTTCTAGTGTGGGGTCCAGGGAATTACTAAATAGTAAAGTGCACAAATATTTAATGAGGAAAAATCCCTTGGCTCAAAGGGATTAAAAAACCTCGACCTCCCTCGGAGGAGTTTTCAACAACTTCACTAATAAGCCTTTTGTGATTACAAGGTAAATTCTCCTAATCTACCCTTGAGCCACCCCAACTCTATCCCCTCTAGGAAGAGTTATGCATCTCTACCTTGCGGGTAGAGAGGCACTCAGCTTTACAACAAAGCTCTCACACACACGACCCCAACCTGAGGAAGCTACCCTTAAGCTTTTCCTCAACCTTCAATTACACAACAAGTAAGAGAAAAGAAACTATATCTAGAACTCTATAAGCAGGACTAGTTGCCTTGGTCTTGATACTCTCTTATAAGTATTTCTCTCTTATATTGTTCGGTCAAGCACACCTCATTTCTCTTTGGCTGCTTTGTTTATATATGTTGTCTTGGGCAGGCCGTTTAAGCATCCTTCCTTGAATAGTTGATCTTCTAATCTTGGGACTTGCCTCAATATTTTGAATTGCTTTTCTTCTTTATAATATTTCCCATATCCGAGCTCAATATATAAGGCAGCCGGATTAAATATCTTAATCAGGGTAGCATATCAATCCTGGACTAAGAATAGATACAAACAGCTCATCCATCTCTTGAGTGATCAATTAATTACCAAATAAGGCAGGCTTCGGTCAATATTCAAAAAGGTAGGAATATCTTTCTCAATATAAGCAAGCAACGAATTAAGATATGGAATATATTTCAAACAACTTCTTCTCTTTCACATCCGTATAGCTAGGGAATATTTTACGTACCATACTAAGCTATATCAAGTATGGAAAGAGAATAATCACTCATATAAGGAAAGCATAGCAATAGAAGAACAAGTAGGTGCAATCCGTATTAATTCAAATCATATTACGGATTTAGAAATGGAGCTGCATTAGTTCCTCCTGCATGGTTAGCCAATCAAATTAATAATGTCCATTTGTTCCTGTTACGCAAGGAACTGTGAACGGTTCTATCCGCCGTTCACCCTGTATGTTTAGTCATCAACAAAACAATCATACTTAACAGTTAGGAAGTACTCCCCCTCATTCAAATGTTCTCGCTTTTCTTTTTTGGACATCTCATATAATTATAAAGGTTTTCATTTTATTTTAGAAAACAATTAACACTCTTAAATGATAGTTTAACCCTCAAATATTAGAAATAATACATCTTCAAAATCACAGTTATGATCATGACTCCATCATAGTATATACTCGTAACCCGTCAAAACTATTTCTCAAAATATATTCGAATAATCTTATTTAATTATTGTCTAAATAATTATGTCATTTAGGGGTGGGCACGTATGGTTAACCGGATTTCGGTTAACCAAATTTTTGATTAACCACTAATCGGTTAACCAATAAACCATGAAAGCAAAAGATAAAGTTTTCAATATTCTGATTGTTTTTAAATGTTGAACCTATAATTTTTGAGAAAATTACCAAAGGTAAGAGTAAAAAAGTTTGAAAATTCCAAAAATAGGACTGTCATCCTTTTATTCTCAAAATATGAGTAATTACTATCAAGTTTGAAAAATATTGCCATGTTTTTAGAAATAAAAACATGATAGTCTTATTTTGGAATATACAAATGTTGTTAGTTCTATTTAGAGTAATTTCCCATTATTTTTTAATTGGGCTTGATAACACTTCCAGTGATAAATAAATAAATTGAGGAATAAAATAAGGAGTATTACAAAATAAATAAGGGTCTTTCCTTAAATATTACTAATAAAAAGTCATGGATAAAAATATTACTCTTAGTAACTACTAGAGACTATATTTATGTTTAAACTTTGCATCGTAGTAACTTACATGTAGTTACTAAGATGTAAATTTGAACACAATCATAGTCACTAATAATCAGTAAGTAATATTTTTGTTTATCACATTGATGGTATCATGGACTCCGATCATGGCCCAATTATGAAATTATAGATAAAGCCTATAAGGGGATTAAGCTCATATCCGGTTCATAACGGGATCAAGCCCTCAATGGGATCAAGCTCTTAACGGGATCAGCCCATAAACGGGATTAGTATGTTAGCCGTTGGGCCTAACTAAGAATCAGACCCACGACAGGAACCCACAATCCGGCCAGGCTGGACAGCAGACCTCGAGCCTGGGCAGAGTTCTAGTGAGGTCAGGATATTTCTAGGACTTACGTGGCAGACTATCATTCGTGCATAGCTATCTGGCGGCAAGCAGGAACCAACGGCAAGAACGTATACTTAAAGGAACAATCATTGCCCAACAGCCAAGACGTTACAGGAATCTAATTCGATTAAACGTGTAATTAATAGCATTTATTGTATCAGTTTCCTCTTGAAATACTAGTTCTATCAATTATTGTAGCAATTATAGTCTATAAATACTTCCTGTAATCTTCCTATCAAGGGACCGAACTCCGGATAATAGAATATTGGCTTACGCTGCCATATTTTCATCTGCTCTCGTAGATATAGAATATTGTAAACTCCATCACACATTTTAAAGAGTAATATTAATGAAATTTTTTCAAATAAATAAGGGGATGAATAATAACACGCATGGAAAAATGTAGAAATATCCCTTTGACCATATATTGCTCCATGTAAATCATACCTGCATATCCGCTTGGTAACGATTGTCTTCAAGGAAGTATGGACTGCCATGAGAGGCAAGACCACTGCAGTAGAGCAGTAGAGGAAATTAGCAGCACATCGTGTGCTACGAAGCAAAATTTGCAAAACAACAATAAATGACGTTTAATCACCTAATTTGTAGACCTGTCAACGGGTCGGGTACGGGCCGGAAGGAATTAGACCTGCACAAACACGGGCTCGGGCCGGGCTCGGGCCGGGCTTATTCTAAAAAATCTGCCCACTTGTAGTGGGCGGGCCCAGCCCGGTAAAACGGGCCTCCTCATATGTCCAAGCCCGTCCATGAGAGCGGGTCGGGCTGTCCACCGGGCTTTTGGGCCCGGAAAATACCCTTTTGTCAACTTTGTTAAAAAAATGAAAATATTTATAAAATAACATCACAACATTTTAAATGCAATTAAATAATTAATGTACTCACAACACATTTTGAACACAAAAATACGTTTAAATGCAAAACACAAAACGATTCTGGAAAATAAAAAGCATCCAAATTCCAAATAAGCATCCATATTCCATAATTAAAAGCACAATCACAGATTCACAATGTGCAGCGGAAATAGTCAAGAGTATCTCCAAAAAGACTTAACAAATGTATATCATTACAGTTCAAATTTAAATAGTAGAACACAAAAAGTAATTGGTATCCCAAGATTCCAAGAACTTCTCGACACTCCTTCATTTCACCATAAAGTAATTGATCTCCCTGCTCTGCCAAGTGCCAATAAATATCAAATAATGAAAACCAAATATTATTTATAAACCAAGTAAAAACATTGAGACAATGAAAACTACTATATTGTAATTTCTGAATCTTACCGTCTGTGAAAGAGAAGCATTGTCTTACACTAGAGTAGCATTTCATCTTCTTCATCTTCGTTATCATTCGAACGTCCATCACCGATCTTGAACATACTTGCGGAACCTTACAAGTTAAAAATAATGGAAAATAATGACACTTGTGAATAATGACATGGTAATGAAATTATACTTCCAAGTATTTTAAGTTTTATACGTATAGTCATATAATGTATAATTATACATAGAATAATATATATAATATAATATATAAAATATGTTTACGGACCGGGCTTTTAGGCCCGACCGGGCCTATATTACAACCCAAGCCCGACCATATTTTAAACGGGCCGGGCCGGGCCGGGCCCGGTGGGCTAAAGCATGTGTCCAAACCCGCCCATTTATATGGGCGGGCCGGGCGGGCCGGCCCGGAATTGTGCAGGTCTAGCCGGAACGTAGTATCCTAGACCCGGATTCGTTAGCCTGTATAGGGTTCTAGACCCGACCCATATACCCGACGGGTCTAGAACTAATGTTCCGGATAGGGATGGACTGGGTCGGGCCGAACCGGCCCTGTACTGTTTGGGACCGGACCGGACCGGTTGGCCGGTTCCGGGCTTTTAGCCCGTTTGGGCGGGTCGGGCGGGCCTGGCTCGGGCCCAGTTTTGGGCGAACCGACCCGGGCGGTTCGGCCCAGGCCCGGGTCTTTTTTTCAATTTTTTTCTTTTCCTAGGCTAGGGCTGGGTGTTTTGGGGAGGTGAGGGGGGGGGGGGGGTCAGGGGATAACAAGAAAGCAAAAAAAAATAGACATCAAACCAGGCCCGGACCCGGTATCAACCCGGGCCGGTTCCGGGCCCATGAATTTGCAAAAAAGCCCTCCCGGGCCCGGCCCGGAACCGGACCGGCCCGGGTCCACCCCTAGTTCCGGACCCATACCCATTGGGTCTCGAAACCGGGTCGGGTAGATCCGACCCGTCTCACGAAAATCCAATTCTAATTTGTTAAATAAGAAACATGACCTCTTACTACCAAGTACTTTTCTGGCAACAATATGACACATGAATTGTAATTACTTGTCTATAATTACTCAACCAAACGCAACAATTGTGAGTTGATTTATAATTTGCAAGATACGTAATGATAGAATAAAGAGTAAAATAAATGACTTTAGAAACTGAACAGGCTTTTTCTTGAATCCTCTACGATCTGCGGACTGTAGGGTCTCAAGGGACCCTTCTTCGGATTTATTAAACTAAATCGTAATGTGAGCTGCAACTAATGTAATATGTATATTAGACTAATGTATATATATAAATAAATATTAACGGGTCGGGTCCTAAACGGGTCCGAACTACCTATACCATACCCGACCCATTAAATAATGCGTCCGAATCCTGATCCGGGTAACGGAATTAAATGTAGACTCATGCCCGTTAAAAAAGACGGATCCAGTTTGGGTCTGGACTCTGGACTATGGATGGACTCGGGCCAGGTGGCCCGACCAAGAACCGGCCCGGGACCGATACTGTTCCGGCCCGGCCCAACCCGGTGGCCCGATCAGTGACCGGTCCGAGTAGGCCCGACCCGTGGGTTTTCCGGTCCGGGCTCGGGTCACCCAAAACAAGGCCCGACCCGGCCAGACCCGGGCCTGGTTCGGGCCAAAACTATTTTTTTTAATTTTTTTTTAAATTTTCGGGTTGGGCTAGGTAATTTGGGCCATTTGGGGTGATTTGGGGGTTGGGGTGGGAGGGGGGTTAATTAGGAAGAGGGGAAAATGATAATGGACCCGGACCCGACCCGGTGGTTACCCGAGCCGGTCCCGGGTCCACCACTCCTGAACCGCCGGCCCGCTCGGGCCTAGGCCCGGCCCGGACCCGAGTCCATCCCTAGTCTGGACCCGACCCGGCGACCCATTGACAGGCCTACTAATTTGGCTAATAATGATGACAACACAAATCAAATGAGCATGTGGGCCCCGGAGGTTAAAGATTTACATGAGGATAAAGTTGATAACTATGAACAAAGCATGAATAAAAGGCAGAAAAACGGATATCTTGTTCTAATGTACACACTTCCCGGTACTTCTAATTTTAAATTCTCCGAAGACTCGATATCAACAGTTACTATCACCACGCTCATCGATAATAATAATACAATAATAATAACAAAGTATCTGATATAATTCAAAAAAGAAAAAACTATAGCACAGAAAGACTTATAGCTCATCCACTACTGTACTTGGTTTCTGCACCGCAGCGTTTGAGGCCTCTGGGCGAATAATTCTACATTGGGGTACCCTTTTTTCTAGCATAGACGATCCTTTAAAGGTAACCATCTGCCAGCAAGTCTTTCTGTATTCCTCAAGCTGCAAAGAGAAACCCCATTCACATTATGCATGCAGTTCAATAGTTCATGGCCACATTTGGTTCCCGAAATCATAATAATGTAATGATAATAATAATAACTCGTACGTGGTCTGCTGGCATCTGCTTGAACCCAAATTTATTTGTCCATATCGATATAGCATCATAGGCGGCTGGAAGGACACAGGTTTTCACATTCAAAAAAGCAAGCAACTTCTCTATACAGGAAAACAGGAGTTGAAAGTAACCCTGCAAAGCGCATTTTGAAGCAATGAAAACTCAAACGCACGCATAAGGAAAATATAGTGCAGTAGCTGAATTTAGTTACAGAGATCAATAAAAATGCTACTCTTAAACGTCTGATTATCAAAACTACTGAGTCTCCTCACCTTCCCCTGGTTACCAATTCGAGTTGCCACAAGAGGGATTTCTGCAGCATCTTGACCAAAAATTCGAAGGGTGGCAGCTGATACTACAGTTGAGCTGCATGGTCAGCAGAGAAAAAGCTGATTAACAAATTATAGTACAATTTACTAGAACAAATCTTCAGGCTACAGGATTGTACTTTACTTTAGAGTCAATACTGCACAGTGCATGCCTCCAAAGTCTTGCCCTCTAATGTTCCTTCGGCTACAGTGATGCAGAAATGGTTGTAAATTCAATGCAGTTGGTGATGCATAATTAATTGATATTGGAAGATGAAAAATACACTGGTTGGACAAAGTGAATGCCACATTGGTTATTGTTTATTAGAGTTCAAAAAAAACAATAAAACATACCCATAAACCATAGATGGGATGAAATCACGCCCTGATACGGAATCAACAATAGGATCGAAGCAGTCCTGTATAACAAGTGTCATTCAACAACCAAATCACTGCCACGGCACCAACTATTTTGTGCACCAATCTATCCCCCTAAAAGGAGTTAAAACACATCGTGCAAAAGCAACAAATATCTTACAAAAACTATCAGAACTGTGTCATTTTTATTTTATTTGAAGCCCGATGCACATTGGCATCCCCGCAAGGCGAGGGTCCGAGGAAGGGTCGCACCACAAGGGTGTATAAGGGGAAAGCCTTCCCTTGTCATTTTGACAAGAGGCCACTCCCAAGGCTTGAGTCCGTGACCTCTCAGTCACACAGCAACACCATAAACGGTGCGCCAAGGCTCCCCTTCCATCAGAACTACGTCAACACATAATTCATATACAAGCTAACATATAAAAATAATTGGACGGGATCGTTATAAAATCACTACTGTTGTAGAGCACCAATTGAAGTTGAACAACTCACATGGAAAATTGTAACAGCTTCTGCAAGCAGAGCCCTGACCTCAGGAGAAGCAATTTTTCCACTTAGAAGCCTCCATCTTACATCAATATCACCAATAGATTGAACACCTTTTCCCATTCCCTTTGCTCTTACTGTATCTAAGCACGTGTTCGGCAATTTCTCTTCTCTAGAGCTTAGCAAATTTTGTAGTACCGAATATATCCTTTTGCAATCACTGCAACAGAACCATTTCCCTTTGGGTAATTCCTGTAGTGCAAGCATAAAAGGACTAATTACATACAGGTTGGGGGCAACGTTAACATGAAAATGTAGAAATTTTAGTTTTTAAGTTCAAGTATCCATAAGACTGTACCTTAAGATCAGCCATCTTATGTTGTTTCAAGCAACCAATGTGATACTCCTTCTCACACTGTAAAAGATATAAAAAAAAGTTCAACATCTTCAATTACTGCTCTTTCAACTTAAAAGGCGCAAGTGCCGAAATCGGCATGGGCAGAATGCTTTCAGTGCTTGTACATCACGGTAAAAAGTTGAATATGCAATTAACTAAAGCCTGATCATCACCGAAACCATACCCTGTAAGTGAATGTGAGTGTGTGTGAATTGCGATTTTCGAAACAGTTTCAAAAGATATGTATTTTATAACTAAAAATTAAATACAAACATATTGACGTGCATGCATTAAATGAATTATCAAATGATCATAACCTTTTATCTTAAGTTTAACTGTTATGTTTTAGTCCCTATGGAACCCTTTGATATTAAATCTAAGGGTTGAGATCTAGTCCCTATAGTTCCAATTATTTCAAGATATTGGCTTTTATAGTACAATTAGCAGAACTGAATCATGAATAGTAAATAATATGATATTTGAATGGTGACATCTTGTATTAAAAATAGAACAACTTGGGTAATGTTTGGCAGGCTAGTTTAGCCTATTATTAATTGAAATCTCCCAATGTTGGTTTAAGTAACTTATTCAAAAATAATAATATGTTTAATGTGTGCACTTCGATGTATGTTTAAATATCTCCCACCATTGTTTCTGCTTTATTTGAAACAAGTCTACCTTCATTCTGCTGGGCTTAATGGTTCAACAACCCAAATCGAACTCCGAAAAAATTACCCTCAATCCAGCCATTAGCCTTCATCTCAAGTCTGGGGTGCCAAACATAGCTTTAACAGATAATGTTAAAAGAGTCTTGAAGCTTTTAATAGTTATAGTTATACATTAGAATACTACGTAGTACATTTTAATTCATTAATTCTTCATATTGTGTCCAACTATTTTGAGTGTGCTAATATAATTGAAGATGTAAATCATTTTGAGTAATGTTTTGATTTTCATGGGCCAAAGACTCACTATTTTTCCAACATTTCCTATGTTGCTTCTTTGTTATAAAGCAACAGTCAGTCCATGCAATTTTCAACGTGATTTTCATCATGGGTCATCCGGAAAGTCGGAAACAGTCTCTTTGTGGGGCTGCGTACATCCGACCCCCCTTAACCCACCGTAGATGGGGGCCTTTGCGTCACTGGGGTAATGTTGTTGTAATGTTTTGATTTTAAATTAATAATCAATATATATAATGTACATACATATGTTTGTGTGTGCGAAATGCAAAAAATACCTGATCGCACAGTATAACTGTGCGTGGACCAAAACCAGAGCAGCTATAATCATAACCTCTGCAGGCATTCAATGAATTTAGATGTAAGAAACATTCAAGCATAGATCCAAAAATAGATTGAAGGATGCAATAAGCAATATGACAGTACCTGCATATTACACAAGCAATCACATCAACTTCTTCTGGGTTTTTTACTATACGAATGCAGCGTTTTGTTATCTGCTCTATTGAATCAATACCAGAGACCCTTCCAGCTGCTAAAGCATTATCATTGTACTGCACGAACTTCTGTTTCTTGAACAAATTCTCACAGTATTTGCAAAACCATTTACCACTAGGGACACTATCCAAGTGCGCGCATTCTGCACAAGCAAATAAGATCACCAATGGAATTCATAGAGATATAGAAGTTTAAAAGTGCAGAGCATGCTCAAATGATAAATTGCTGCAACAATCCAAATATTCATTTAACTTTTCAAGATGATCTGAAATGATATCCCACTCAACGCTGACTACGTCATTTTCTGAAATTTATTAACTTTACATTGCATACATAAGAGTGCACTGGGTTAAAATAGTATGGCATTATCTGTTTCTGTAACACACATGCAAACCGAGAAGGGGTGGGAGAAAAGTATAGAAAGGTCAACCGATAATAGGCACTAAACCACGTTAGTTTTTTGAAGTAATTCAGCATATGATAGCTGATGCTAATCCCAAAAGTTATTCATAGTATTAGTATTAAATCATTCTCATCATCATCATCATCCATAACAATAACTTCTTTTCAGCAATAAGACAAAGCCATCAGTTAGACGTTCTTGAGTGCACTTATGCAAGCATAGATTGATCATGAGTAATTATGCAATCCTACATTTCCTCACCATCTTTAGTGACTTCAAATTAATCTAAAACAAAGAATAAACTCAGTTTTATAAAAAAAAATGTGTGGAAGAAGATGATGGCATGGCTTCCATTTTTTATGAGGTTTTATAGTTCAGGAGGTGTATCTGACATTTCTTCAGTACAGGAGCTTATGTGGATTGAAAAGTAGGATGGCTTCTTTGACCCTTTTCACTTATCAGTTCTTAGGTTAACAAAAGTACAACAAATATAATATGGAGTATGAGCTCTCCAGATGTTAAGCTTTAACCTTTATGGAAGGACCTTGGGCACCCATCACAAAGCACAAGATTCCCACCATCAGCACATACAATGCACAAGTCATCGCTGTCGTTAACTGAGCTATTCCGGCCTTTTAATAGAGATATAGCGAATTCGTGGAGAGACACTCCATTAGAAGTGTAAATATACATGTAGCTGCAGAAAGCATGGCCATATTAAAATATGGATGAAATTCAGTGTTTTTCCACAAGAAAAGAAAAGAGTATAAATTTTAAAAAGGAAGGGTATAAAAACTAACGGTTTCTTTCGAGACGCGCAACCAGCATGAGCTTCAAACTGTGATGGACTGACCTGAGCATAAAATAGGAGAGAAAAGCAAATAAAGTGTCAAATATTATATTAAGCCTAACAGCAAAAGGTAAATCTTAACTACTGACTTGGTACCTGAGTGTTGCAACATTTGCAGAATATTCCAGATCCATTTTTATAACCACCAACCAACCTCTGTAGGTAAAATTGAAAGATGACAGCATTAGCTATCAAAGTAAGTGTAGGTAAAAATATTATTGAGTGCTTGGAAAAAATCATCAATGCCAATAGTAATAGAAATGATCGAGGAGTCATTGAAATGAGAATTAACCCATTAAATAGGGTAGAGTACTTGATCAAAATAAGGGAATGATTACTTTTTTTTATTTCAAAAATAGTACAAGCAATATATCTGGGATTTATAGACCTTTCACTCTCATTCATTTGTTCTACACTTCTATCTCTATCCCCCCCCACCAAGCACCCTATACATTCTATACACATCAAAACCTACAAGTAAGAGAAAGATTCAACCACCTTTCCATTAGAATAGTAGCTTAATTCAGTTCCATCAGGCAGACCGCCCTCCTCAAAGACTATACAATGTATCTTTTGAGCCCTAGTAAAAGGAAAGGCATCAGAGTTTAGGAATATAAATGGAAACAACAGATTAACAGTTTGAATTATAGATATATAAACAACTTTTTTGTAATTTTCGTCTTGTCCTTGGTTTGAACAGGAGTATGTGCTGTAGAACTTTTTGCATGCTTCATAACAGAATTGGATTGGGAAAATCTGAAAACACCCAACAAAATAATCTCAGATGTTGAAAAGAGCCACTTTAGCAAAGCAGTGTTCACGAGAAACAAGATAATATCATAATCTACCAACTTTTTCAAAATCCCTCCTTCCGTCTTCATTTTAAATGGTCCGTGTTTATTAGAAGCACTTTCTGGTTCTGATGCCCTGAAAAATAGCCAAAAGGAATCAAACCAAAAAAACATTTCCTTGAAATCTCTGATTGAATTTTCTGTCTTGGTTATATGTGGTCTGATGATCTCAGAGAATCCCTTCTATTTGAAACCAAATACATGGTCTTGATGTGAAGAATGAATAAAGTGACAATGTATGCTCAAAAATTTGTTTTGAAAAACAAAATTGACTTGATGTGATCCATACTGACTTTCTCTTTTTCCTCGGATTAGTACTGCTAATGACAGAAGAATCTGCAGTTTTGATGCTTGCAGATGAATTTAATTCATCAACTGGTTCAGAGGTCCTGAGATGGCATAAGCAAATAGTAAGAATAATTAAATAACAACAATGCTCTGAAATATATTTGAATACTAGATAATATATACTCCCTAGTCCCTCCGTCCCATTTTACCTGTCTTAGTCTTACTTTCCTTTCTGGGTTGTCCCAAAATAAGTGTCACCTTTCTCTTTTTGGAAAGAAATATGTGGTCCATAGCATTTCACTTTATAATACTCAAATCTCAACCATGACTTTTACCTTTTCAACCACTTTATTAATAATTGTGCCAAAGTCAAAGGAGACAAATAAAATGGGACAGAGGTAGTGCAAAATAAATTTGACTGGAAGGATATAGAATCTCTGTTTCCTCTTTATAGTACTAATCACAAAAGAAGCAACAATTTTGACACTTGCACTCTTTCAGATGAGTTTAACTTATCAACTAGTCCAGACGTCTTAAGATAGCATAAACAAGGAGATAAATAAGTTTGACAAAGAAGTATACAACAACAACATCCAAGCCTTAGTCCCAAAAGATATTGGCCATCATATTGGCTAACAGCATATTCTGTTTGCCAGGCACAAGTATGGCAATGTATCTCAAGGTGAGACTGGATTTTGAAAACCAGTAACTTTATGACCCTACTTCAAATTAGTTTACACACTTCAAGATCACAGAACCACAGACTACAAAAGATGTTTTTAATTGGACTGAAATATTCTGGTCTGGTCTAATCTAGTTTGGTCTGATAAATGTATTTATAACAGTCGAAGTCTGGTCTGGTCCAGTCTGATCTATTCAAGTCTGGTCTGGGACTGGAAATAGTCCAAGTAAAAACATTCTAACATCATATTATATACCAATACAATTACAACATACATATAGGTAACAAATGAATCCAACACATCTTACGTGATAAAATAGTAGATAATATATTACAAGTGTGATTCCAAACTCAAAACCAATATTACCCCTCTTCAGCTTCTGATCTTGTAACAGCCAAGCACAAATCACATAGTACATGTTTTGCGGCAGATGTTGCAAGGAATGGCCCTATCAATTACGCATAACAAACACTTCAGATCGTTTTTATGATAAACAAATTAAAAACCTAACATTAACTCACCCTTGCAGTTCTGGCAGACAGATGTTTCCAGTACAGGAGGTGGCCCTATAAAACTCCGAACAATTTCATCTAATGTCTTTAATGCATATTTCCTGCATTCCTTCACAACATCATGGAGGCTCTTCCCATTTTCAAGGCAGATATGTGATGATGCCTTCTTATATGACTTACATGCATGAACCTCAAACTTAGAAGGAGGAACAACCTATCAACAAAATAGTTGTAAGGGTGCTGAGATTTTTTTAGGCAGATAGCAGTTATCCTATCGCTGTATTACCAAAAAGAGTGATTATATATTACAGATGCTTACTATGGATCCATTGCACATCTCACAAGAGCACAAAATTCCAACACCTTTGATTATTCCGCGCAGCAGAACTCCCTTAATTAAAGAAACTTTAGTATCAAACAACATAGGTTGATGAAGGTGATTAAGAGTTGTGCAAATTAGGCAACTACAAAATTAGTCTCCCTTTAGGTGATCTATGTCTATAAACAAATTCACACGCATGCATCTTCAAAAAAATTAAGAAACTTATGCCTTCAAACATAATAGTCATTACCGAAATATAGAGCTTTTTTATTCAAAACTCAAAATTTCGTATTCCCAAGAAGTTTATAGAAAAAAGTGCTCATACAAGTTAACATCTTCGTAGCTATCCAGTTGCTACCAAAGTTAAGGTGTTAACTTTCTCGGTTAATAGACCAAAATGTGAAATATTTCCAGGACTATCATGGGTTATGTTCAATATTACCTAATAAATAAACAATCAGTCCTTTAGGGTTGATGGCCTTCATCAAAAGTTAATTAAGGAGTACTGGACTAAATAAAGACTACTGAAAATTGAGGAATAAATGACATAAATGAGAAACTGAATTATGTTTAGCAGTTAACCTTTGGTCTACCTTGTAAAAGACGGGGTATCCTTCCAGCAAGCCTGTCTCAAGCAGCTCTCTAACAGTACTTGGTCTTCGTTTTAGAAGGATCTTCTTAGAATTTCTCTTCTCTAGCCTCTCTGTACCAGTATCCAAGGCAGTGACTCCACCGCCCTTGTCTCCATTGGCTTTCAAAACCTCAGTATCAGTAATCCTTTTGCAGTCTATGCTTTCAATTTCCGAAGCCACTTCTACCTTCAGCTTTAATGACGACCTAGTGAAACGCTTTTGCAGTACTTTGCTGGCGCCATTCTTTCCCAGTAGCTTGGACTCTTTTTTTACTTTCACTTTTACCATATCACTCTTCTTCTCACATTGTCCATTGAAAGATCTTTCCAATTTTCCCTTATTTCCCACCATATTCTTAGCTTCACCGTCACCCCTTGCCTGAGCATTGCACTCTCCATAACCATCAGAAGCCACCACTAAAGACTGGCCCAAGATCGCGACTTTACCATCCAAATATCCATTCAACCAACTAGATTTGACATGTTTACCGCCAGACCTCATCCAACTACTGCATTCACTTATACCTATTGGTGGACCAGATAATCCGGGTCCTGTATCAGGCTCAGCGGCCGTCTTTAACCTCTTACTCCTGCTGTACACAACAACTCTCGTGTTATCACCAATCCTAACGCCAGACGACTCGCCAATCGCCGATGTCCCGCTAAGTTCCACGTTTGCTCGACCAAGATCATCCACGCCCACGCCCGAGGCAAGTGGTTGAGCCGTATAGTTTGCTAGCGAAGGCACAACTTCCAATGGCACGTCTTGTTCAAGCTTCATCGGAGCCACCGTCCCGGGTGTAGCTGAACCGACACGGCGGCGGAGAGAGTAAACCATATACAAGTAGAATTCTACTGGTTCCTATTCAAGTAAACAAACGGGTCAGCGTATAAGCTGGGCAGATTGAAAATTTGGGAAAGATATGCCGGAGGAAGATTACAAATTTGGAGTGCCAAAATAGCCTTCCGTATATACCCTTAAAATTTTGTGAATGGCTTGAAAACACCTTAGCAAAACCAAGGTCCTTTACTTATTTCGGTTTTTTTACTTTTTATTTTTGTTTTCATTTTTTAGTTTTTCATTTTTTTTCAAAATTTTCCTTATTTTCTATTTCATTTTTTAAAACCATAAAGTAAATATATACATCAAGGGGATTAATGCATCAAACCCCCTTGTGATACAAACATTCAGCGCATTAGCTATTTAGCTCTTATGATTTATAAAATGCATCAAACCCCCGTGTTATAATTATTCATGCGCGAACCTCCTCTATGAACAAATTTAATTTAATTGTCAAATAAAAGAACATTGATAAACATTTTTGTATAATTTAGAGACTCAATCACAATATTAATAGAATGATTTTCAAATTGTTAAATTTGTTCATAAAAGGGGTTATGTGCATAAATAATTATAACACAAAGGAGTTTGACGCATTTTTTAAATCACAATGAGACTAATGCGCTGAATTTCTATATCATGAGGGTGTTTGGTGCATTAACTCATACCTTAAGGGATTAAACCCTGATAAAACCGAAAGCATAAAAAATGATAAATAGTACATGACATCATTAAAAATATAATATGTGTATAATGTAAAATGAAGTACTCGTAATTAGAAACATTTGAAATAAGAAAAAACGTTTATAAATATAATGGAATTTTATCAATTCAGAACCTGGAAGATAGACGAACTATCAATTCGGTACTTGAAAGATGAAATGTATCGATATAGGACCTGAATGATGGAAAACTATCAATCTAGGACCCAAATGATTGAAAAGTATCGATTTAGGACCTAAGTTTTCATAAATTTTATTATTACTTTTATTTTAAAAAATTTATATAATATTTAATTTTATTAAACTAATAAACTTTTGTGAAGAAAATATCGTCAAATATTAGCAATGGAATTATTAAAAAATTAAATAAATCAAAACCTAAGAAATGTTAGGTCCTAGAATCCTAGATTGATAGTTTTTCATCTTTCGAGTCCTCTACGGATACATTTCATCTTTCAGGTTCTGGATTGATAATTCGTCTATCTTTCAGGTCCCGGATTGATAAAATTCCAAATATATATGATAATCCGCTAACAAAACTTAACAAGTGACATTTTTTTAATAAGAGACTACTTTGTCTTGAGAAAAGTACACAACACTAGTAATATTTTGACATGAAAATTATGAATCAGAGTTTTTTTTTTGAAAGGAAAATGACTATGTTGATATCATTAGAATCGGGATCGTTACAACAATATCAAAATGAATAGAACTGACAACAACCTTCACCTTCCAACTACTACTTTTAGCCCTGCGATTAGACATAGAGACGACTACCCCTAAAGAAGCAATACGAATCGCTAACCCCCAGGCGGACTTAATGCAACTATTGCTGGAAAAATAGATATGTCCCCCCACTAACAATATCAAATCTATCTGAACCCTCGATCAATGTAAAAAACCTATTACCATAAGCAAATACCAAAAGCAAAATGATAGCAACGAATTTCTTCGAAAAATGGGGACAATGAATTTAAGCAGGATGAATTTATTGAGCCGTTAAACCAATCTTCCAACGCGGTGTTCCGACCCCTAATCACCCATTTCCAACATGGTGACGGTTCAGGAGGGGGCGGATCTTCATCCCTTCATCTTCTTCCTTCAACACTCTGATCTGCCCGTGATTCGCATTCATCTCTTGGCCAACATACCGCACGAGCACAACCAGTCCAAACGCGAACAGTCGCCAGACCCCTATCATCTCCCCTATGCTGCAATCGAGATTCGCCAAGACCCTCTGGTCCCGAATGCTCCCACGCTCCACCATGTGCTCTAGATGAGGAAAACTAGAAAAACTTCGGGACACTGAAGCGCCAAGAAAGCTATAGCGCCGCCCGTCGAAAACATAGACTTGCTAGGACCGCCGCCGCAGTGAACCTAAGCCCTTCACCGCTCCGAAGCGATGAGAGAAACCAGCCACTCCTCTCTAGGGTTCGCCTGACAATCTACTTTTGAATGACAGTTAGAATTAGAAACTTATTTTTAAAGTCACGTGCTTTTTACAACATGATTGAGTACATCACACTAGTAATACTTTTCTAAATCATATGTTTTTCATGATCTATGGATCATATTTAGTATTCTGGAGGGGATTATGATATCTAAATGCGTATATTTTTATACATAAATTTGTATATTTTTATAACACTAAAAACGTGAAAATTGATTTCCGTAATTTAATATAAAAATATACTACATATATTATTCAACATAGAATGTTACATAGAGCTCGAAAAAATATGTCATTAAAAAAAAGGTGTCATAATCAAATATCCGAGCTTGAAACAAATATAAGAAAAAAATCATAAACATGTCTCTGTTTTTCAATTTTGGAGAATAAACATGTAAATGTGTTTTCCAATTTTACAATTTTCTGAAAAAATGAAAAATATTCTTGTTAGTAAATGGGCCCCGAGTTTCTTTCCATATAAATAGAAATTGGAGACCAGATAATATATGCTTTAAAATGAAATAATTATATATTTATGACTAAAATAAATATTTTTTATAAAATGTGACTTATTTAACTATAGTGATTATAATAATAAATTTAAATACTGATTTATGTTCAAGTTTTACACTTAAGTGATCTCGATATTACACTCATAGTAACTTTAGTCATACTTTGTGAATAAGTTTTATTTTAGTAATAGTTTTTGAAAAAATCTTGTAAAAAATTGATAATATATGGAAGAAAGTATTTTGATTCGACTGAAAATAAAGGTAGTGAAATATACTACGCAGTCAAATGAAATTTAACAACATTTTCTGTCAATTAGCATGTAATTATATTTTCATCACTTAAAGATTCTCTAGTTTTGATAACAATGGTGTATTATTTGAACATGAATAATGTATTATATCAATATGATTGTTTTTCAAGTTTCTGTAGTAGTTCTTGAATGTTCCTAACTATGAAGCGTGTTTCAAGTTTGGTGCAATTCTTTGAAAAAATTTAGGTGTTGGGAGACCGGTTTTGATCAATAGTTTGCATGTGTTAGATGGTACACAATGAAACACATATTAGAACATTTTTACATATTAAAGACTATGTGCATTCATGTGGTGGACCCATAAATTTCCTAGAGGAGGAACTACTGCATGTATGGAAACGGGTCAGGTCAGGTCAGGTCGGGTCGGGTCGGGTCGGGTGTACCATAAGTCTTTTTATCTAAATCGTTGTTGTTAATCAGAAATAGGTTATTCAATGGAGGTGTCAAGCGATGGACATCTGCATATCTATTGTTTTATATAGTAAAACTGAATTATAAATCAATGATGTATCAATCTGTGATTGGTTACTAAAAATTTGATTATCACACTTATTAAAACATTTATTAATTCTCTCAATGCAAGTTCACACGGTCGAATACTATTGGCATTAATTAGGCCAACTCATTTGGAGAAAAAGGAGCAAAAATCTGTACTTTTCAAATTGTTATAACTTTTTTATTTGCATTCTAATTTTTATAAAAAATATCTAAAAATTCATAATTTTTATGATTTTTCGTATGACATCAATATTGCATATGTAAAAATAAAAAAGTGTGAAGATTCAATTGATGAAGATTTTAAAGCCTATAACTTTTTTATCAAAAAAGTCCAAAACTTTTTTTAAGTAGATTAAAATCTTAAAATTAAGATTTCATAATTAATTTTTACATTTTTGAATTTATTTAAAAAAAATATAAAACACTGGATTCTTTATTATTTATTGTTTTACATAGTAAACACAAATTATGAAATGCTATGCGTGACTCTCTTATTGATTTGGCATAATAAATATTAACATTATTTTAATTTTATAATCATTGTCTAACTCATCGATCCATCACATGATACAAATGCTCATATAATATAAAAAATAATTCACTCTTACATTACAACATCTAAATAATTTGTAACACCTACATGATTTGCTTAATTATTGATTGATTTGTGTATTAAATCATAGTGTAAATTATATTTCAAAATATACTTTAATTATTATATGCATAATCACATTTAGTTTATACCGTAAATAAATACATTATGATACGAAAACATAATAACAATATGCATATAATTTATGAACACAGTCAAAATCTTCACAGGAAAAGTTTCATACATAACACTTTTATTATTCTTCAATTATGAACTACTACAAGAATATCAATAATGTACTCTCATTGTCCCAACGAAACCCAACAAAATGTGGCCACAACGGGGATAGGTCGGGATTGAAACACATGTTGCGGCTGCAATATTGGGGTTGTTTTCTGTAGCGCAATCGCGTCGGGCTGCAATGGAGGTGCAGTTTCAATTCACGGGGAAAATCTATACTACATACGTAACACAACGAAATCATAAGGTGGTCGTAAGGGGGCCATATCGCATCGTATCAAGACATCGACACTAATTATTTTCTTATTTTTGTTCGAACGTAAAATTAGATTACACCGCACTGGCCGCAATACCTGCAACCCCAGTGACCGCAATAGCAACGCTACCGCAATAAATTAAAAAACATTGATATAGACTAAAAAAGTAAATATATGATATATGATGTGGATAATTTAATATATAGTCATTTAACATATAAAAATTTATTATTGTTTGTGGTTACATCGTAGTAAAAATGTGTTATATTAAACTTTGTATCATATGAATGATTCACAAATTGATGCACCGCTACCGGGGCATTTCCCCAGGGTTTACACTAGTTTTAGGTCTAGTTTTGACTCTTTAAGACAATTCTAAACAATAGTATGTGCTTTTCTGATAGAAAGACATAATTTGTATTTGAAGAGAATCATCTTGCATCATTTCTGATTTTGCATTAGAATTTTCTTTATTTTCATATTATAAAATAGTTAGGATTTCAGTTCTGAACGAGAATCATGTTAAACGCTACACATTGTGTCACAACATTTGTTGGTAATTGTTT